TTCACATCTAGACAGCCCCCCATCACAGATCAAATTCACTTTCGAATGAGTGGCCATTCAATATACAGTCCTGCCAATCGGATGGTCTCTGGCCCCATTTTTTATCGACTTTTACAAAGTACATAGATGCAGCTCTCTCCCCTTTGAGACAGATGGGAATACACATCTTGAATTACCTTGATGATTGGCTGGTTTTAGCCAGATCAGATCAGGAACTCATTTCTCACAGGTCGCTGCTGCTCAGCCAACTGGAGCGGCTTGGTTTGAAAATCAATTTAGCCAAGAACTCTCTGTCTCCCAGCCAGCTAGTAGTCTTTCTGGGGACAGTTATCGATTCTGCCCAGATGCGGGCATGGACTATGCCCGAACGCTCCCTGATAGTTCAGCAGCTAGCAGCGTCATTCAAGCTGGGGACTTCACGTCCCCTCAGGGCTTTCCAGAGGATGCTCAGCCTAATTTTGGCCACTTCCTCTGTGATTCCTCTGGGCCTGCTTCACATGCGGCCCCTCCTGTATTGGCTCAAGGTCCATGTCTCGTCCCACGCTTGGGCGCCTGGGACTTTTTCATCTCAGGGTAAACCACCGCTGCACTGCTAAAAACCTTCCTGCCGGCCTTAAAGGGGCACAACGTCCTGGTCTGTTCGGACAACATGGCGATGGTAGCCTTTATAAATCGTCAAGGTGGTTTCAGGTCACGCTCCCTCTACAAGATGGCTCAACGCCTTCTTTCCTGGTGGCCCCACTCTGGAGGAATCAGACGTGGTTCCCCAAGTTGATTCAGCTGCTATCGGCAGCCCCTGGCAGATACCACTGAGGAAGGACCTCCTCTCACAAGTGAGGGGCATGATTTGGCATCCCCGGCCAGAGCTGTGGAGCCTTCATGCTTGGCCCCTCGATGGGAGTCTTTGCAGCTCCCCGTGAGTGTAGCTAATACCATTTTGGAGGCTAGAGCTCTGTCTACAAGACGTCTCTATGCTCTTAAATGACTGGTGTGTAGCACGGAATGATGGCCCGTCATCCTGTGACGTATCCAACATGCTAACTTTTCTACAAGATCTATGAGACAAGGGATGCACCCCTCCACGCTCTAAGTATATGTGGCAGCTATCGCGGAGAATCTTTCACTCATGGCTAGCCAGTCAATCGGCAGAAACAACATGGTGGTTAAGTTTCTGAAGGGAGCTCGGAGATTGAATCTGCCTCGCCCTCATACTGTGCCGACTTGGAACTTATATTTAGTCCTCAGGGCCCTATGGGGCCCCCCTCGAGCCACTCCAGTCAGCCAACTTGCGGCCCCTTGCGCATAAGACTACCCTTATTCTGGCTTTAGTGTTAGTCAAGTGAGTAGGTAACCTGCAAGCACTGTCAGTCAGTGCTTCATGTCTTGAGTTTGGGTCTAACGACTGTAGAGTCGTCCTCAAGCCAAGACATGGCTACGTGCCAAAAGTGCTCTCCACTCCATTCAGAGCACAAGTCATCACCCTTCTAGTGCTCCCCAATTCAGAAAGTAGCAGGGTTTTAATCTACTCTGCCCAGTTCAGTGTATGTTGAGTGCTCTGACCCATTTCAGCACTCAGAGCAGCTCTTTGTATGCTTTGTATGCCGCTCTAAAAGGCTGTCGGTCACGAAGCAGAGATCTCGCTGTATAGTGGATGCTATAGCCCTGGCTTACACCTCAGCGGGCTTACACTGTCCTATAGGAGTGAGGGCCCACTCCACCAGAGGGATGGCCTCCTCCTGGGCTTCGTCCAGCAGAATTTATTTTGGTGATATCTGTGCATACAGGAGCCTTTAGTATGGGCGCTCCGTGGCTGGGCTCGCAGAGCGACTTCGTTCTGCACTTGCTTATAGCATGGCGCGATTGGATGCGTTCCCCATAGCATGATTAACGCAATGGGAGAGGCCGTTCGAAAGGGAACGCTCTGGTTACTTACGTAAACTCGGTTCCCTGATATAAGGTAACGAGTGTTGTCTAGGCTGCCGTGCTATAAGGCTGCACGCAAGTCAACAACTGTCACTTCAGTCAAAAGATTCTGATGAAATGGCACCCAGAGGCGACTTACAGTATATAGCAGTCGGCTCTAACCCTTTTGGCGGGTTGAAGCACCATTGGTTAGTGCAGCTACACAAACGTGATCAAATCAGGCTTCAGTATCAGAGTAAACAGGAGTTTCCCCATAGCGTAATTAATGCAATGCTTGTTCCCGTGTCTCAGGGAAGGTTACGTAAGTAACCGGAACATTTATTTCCCTTGCCCCTGATTTTCTAACAAATGGAGAGCACAGAGAAAAAAAAATCTATATTTGTTAGAAGTGTTTATGTACTTAGGTGCAAGTAATTTCCCCCTTTTTTTCGTCCTCAGAATTGTTCAAACTACTGCTGCATTTTATATATTTTTATTTTATTTCCTCATTTATTTTTATTGCTTTTTTATTTTTCTTTATTATTTTTATTATTTTTCTTTTTTTATTTGTTTGTTTTTTTGTATTGTTCTTAGTGTTACCGTTCATAATTGTATTTTGTGTTTGACTCAGAGAGTAAGGAAGTTTTTGACTAACTTAATTTTGATCTCTGTTAATAGATTTAAACAGCTGTTCTATTGTCTTTTTCATTTTTGTATCTCTCTGATTGAATAGCATCACTAAAAAGAGTTAAACTAGAATCCACTCACCGCTCAAAACGCAGGAGTTTTTGTGCAGCGCTGAAATTTGCGTGGTGAAATTTTTGGATGAATCTATTATCTAACACACAAAGTGTAGACATTATGAAAGATTCATTGTGTATATATTCATTGTATTTTTGTGAGATTAAGATTAACTGAGATGTCAGCTTTTTAGTGATTATAAAGGGAGTGCTCTTTGCTCGCATTCTGCCATGCCATGCCCGCGGCAGCCTATGCTTGTTTTTCTTGTTTTAACAGTGGTTTATGCTGTGATGTTGTGACTAGGCAACATGGAACTTACTATTTCATATAAATTTCATGGATGTACTGAAAAAAAGGCTACTTATATAGGCTACTTTTATGCAGATTTTTGCGGGTGGGAGTGGGACAAAACATGAATGTTGCGGCCGGGAGCGGGACAAGATATCATATTTCTGTGGGAGCGGGTGGGTGCGGGACAGAATCCTGCTTCACACTTTGGTAACTTCACACTTCAAAAGTCTCTACTTCACACTTTGGTAATTGATTAGATGATGGAAAGTGGTGTATAAATGAGAGGTCAATAAGACCACAAATGTGTATTAAAAAGTGAATTTGGATCTCATAACTTTAAAAATGCAAACTTTAAAATATACAAAATCAGAAGATAATACCATGGTGGGCTAATTTGATAGACACATTGGCACTAGATGATATTCATATTCATGTATCATAGTATTTACATGTTACTCTAAGATGTTTTGAAGAATCTGTGACATAATGTGTCAGGTTTAAAATATATATTGTTTTATATAAAGACTTTTTAACAGGGTTTATTTTTTTTTTTACAATGACTAGACTAGAAAACACATGCCCCACTTACTCAGACCTATTTAATACTAATTAATGTGCTCCTTTTTTAACACTAGACCCAATTAATGGCATGCTGGGCCACACAAAAGCTGTGTCACAGGGTGTAGACTCCACCTGGAGACAGACAGAGGGAGAGAGGTTTGCAATGTGACACTATATGATGTATGTTAAAGGGATAGTTTCACTCAAAAATGAAAATTCTTTCATTAATCACTCACCCTCATGTCGTCACCCCCAAACCCGTATGACCTTCGTTCATCTTCTGAACACAAATGAAGATATTTTAGCTGAAATCCAAGAGCTTTCTGACCCTGCATAGACAGCAGTGCAACTGAAATGTTTTATGGCCCAGAAAGGTAGTAAGGACATCGTTAAAATAGTCCATGTGACATCAGTGGTACATCCGATTTCTTCTCTTCCAGCTCAGTCTCAGCCGCCATTCTCGAGAGTACCGCTACGCATGTCATGGTACTCTCGTGGAAGGCGGTGGAGACTTACCCGGAAGGGAAGAAATCATTGAATAAAGTCTTTATTTTTGTTTTCTTTGTACACAAAAAGTATTCTCGTAGCTTCATAACATTACAGTTGAACCAATGATGTCACATAGACTATAAAAAAAAAGTAAATTGGTTGTGAATATGGTTTTTATACCAGTTTTTTTTTTTTTACATATTAAATACAGAAAATAACCATTAAACTGTTTTTAAGAATGCCTTTTCTGGTAAATACGCCATATCTGTTGTTCATTCAAACAACGGCTTTACATCTTTTTACCATTACGATACCATAAATGCATCAGAACTGAAATACCTGTAAACTCTCTAATGCCATTCATTGGAAATAACCTGCACCGTTTTCTTTATCCACCCAGATCAGAAGCGCTTTAGTCGCACAGTCTGTGCGATTTGACAACATTTTTTGACTTCTGAGCAACAGGTGACGATCACATAGAATACATTTTTGCTTTTTAAAACATGAGATGCAAACTTCTTAAGTGCGTCTCTAGGCCTTTGTAGTTGCTCATACCGGTAATCTAGTGCTTTGTTCACTCATATCATCAAAACTGTAATTTACTGGTAATTTTCCAGAAAGGGCTGTATGTGTGAAAGCCCCCGTTGACTTTAAAGTCTGTCACTGAACAATTCTAAGGTTTAAAATGTTCATATTCGTCCTCTACTGCTTCAAAACAGAACAAATTCCAACCATATGCAGGATGTTTTTGTTATTTTTTAATTGTTTATTCTGCTGACCAGTATTCTCACTTATGCTTGGTGATTTGCATTGTTTCCAGGTCCTCATGGCTCTAATCTTGACCGGTTTCATCTTTTTTTTTAGGTCTCAACAAAGGAAGTTGTTACCGAATCAATCATTTCCCAGATGACAATGATTATGACACTGACAGCTCTGAATATCTCTTACGTGAGTGACTTGCTCTTCAGAAATATTAGTGTTACTGTCTATATCTCAATGTTCTTATCATGCACGTTTAGATATCTTGTTAAAGTAAAAGCCTTGTTTATATGCGTGTGTGAACAGGTGTTGTGCGCGCCTCCAGTGTGTTCCCCATCCTCAGTACCATTCTGCTGTTGCTGGGGGCGCTGTGTGTCGGTGTAGGACGCATCTACAGCAAGAGGAACAACATATTACTCAGCGCAGGGATACTATTTGTGGCAGCAGGTAAACTTGCTAATGACCACCTGCTAACTTGCACATGGGTTTTCAACTCACTTCAGATGCTTTTAGCACACTACTAAATTAAATTTGTTAACTGAATATAAATGTAATTTAATATAGGACAATGTCCATGCTCTGATAGTCCACCTTATCCCTGCTGTTACTGGCAGGTGCACTGGAACTGAGGGGGCGACAACTCCCCAACTTTTTTTAGCTGTTATTCAACTGAATTTAGTGGGTTGATATTGCTTGTTCTAAAAGTGCCTTCCTTGTATGGACTGTAATTCACTATAGTTTCATCACCCTATACATGTAAAGAAAATGAAAAACTCTTTAGCAAAACAGTAAAAGAATGTGTAAAGTACTTCAGTACTAGGCTAGATGGCATAGTGTGTCTGGGTGGGTCATGCGTTCCCTAGATGCTGCATTAGCAGCTGTTGCTAATTACCACAATATATCAGAGTGCCTATGATATTTTAAAGGTCAAGATCCACACACGTAATTCCTGGAAAGCTATGCGTTAACATTCCTATTCATCTCAGTAGCAGTTTTTCAACCAGATGGTGATGTTACAGCATCTACGGGCAGGGGCTAATTGGACCATGCTAATGTAATGGAGCCCAGCTATGAAGAATTGTGCAGGTAAACCTCACTCTACTGGCCTCAAGGCTAGAGGCTATGCTCATTAGCGTCCTTGTTAGCATTCCCGCCACAAATGACAGTTAACACTGGTTCAAATCCCACTCAGAGTGGTGTGGACCAGTTACATTGGTGCCATGACCCAAATAGGAGTGAGATTCAGGGGGGTGAATGACAAAGGCTAGCTAGTAAGAGCTGTGCAGGCAGACCTCACTCCCTTGGCCTCCAGAGGCACACTAGCAACTGGTGTTAGAGGCTGTGGTCTTTGTTAGCAGATGGCCTCCCATGCTGGTTGACATTGGTTCAAATCTTGGTACCGTGACCCGGATGGGAATGAGCTTTAGAGTGGAGAGTGTAACAGAGACAAGCTGTGCAGGTAAACTTCAGTCCCCTGGCCTCAAGAGGCACACCAGCAACTCGTGCTAGGGGCTGCAGTCTTAAGTATCCTTGTACGTGTGCCCACCTCTCATGCTGGTTGATGGTGGTTTGAATCCCACTCATCGTGGTACAAGTAGGACCGGTTACACCAGGGGTAGCCAACCCTGCTCCTGTAAGGCTACCTTCCTGTATAGTTTATCTACTGTCTTTATTATACACACCTGAACCATCCAATCATGGCGTTCAGGATTACTTGAAAATTACAGACAAGTGTGTTGGAGCAGTTTAGCTACCCCTGAGTTACACTAACCGGCCAAACCTTGACCTCTTGACATAAACACATACTGAAGACATTTGCAGCCTGTGCCAAGTGTCATGTCTACATTCGTATTCACCCCTGAGAAAATCTATTCCATTTAGTCTAAAGTCTGTCATCAGTTCTAAAGGATGCCCAATATTGTGCCATTTTTGTCCTTGATATTACAGTAGGTCGACTAGTGATTACATCTGATGAGCTCAGTCTGCAGTGTTAAACGTTCAAAGATGGAGGTGTTGTTGACACATCCCAATCAGCCGAATCTAAAATTTTGGTGTTTGAATCTACGTGTATCCATACATTTATCCTTTTATAACCAAGGAAAAGTTTAATAAAGTCATAACTCTGTTATATTACTTAACAAGGTATTTCTCTTATGCTTTCCTGGCTCTGTTTTGTGTCTGGCAGGTTTGAGCAACATTATCGGTATAATCGTCTACATCTCCAGTAATGCTGGTGACCCCAGTGACAAACGAGACGAAGACAAGAAGAACCAGTACAACTATGGTTGGTCATTCTACTTTGGAGCACTCTCTTTCATTGTTGCTGAGGCGGTGGCTGTTATGGCTGTCAGTATCTACATTGAGAAGAACAAAGAAGTGCAGTTCAAAGCACGCCGTGAGTTCATCAAGTCTACCTCGTCCTCTTCGCCGTATTCTCGCATACCCAGCTTTCGCTACCGTCGACGGCACTCTCGCTCCAGCTCTCGCTCAACGGAAGCATCCCGTGAGGCATCACCAGTGGGTATGAAGATGATGAGCTCGGTTCCCATAGGAGAGATCAACATGTACACATTGACAAGAGACCCTCTCAAGTCAGGGACAGACAGCTCCTATAGCCCAGAGCACGATTCAGGATTCCTCCAAGTGCACAACTGCTTTCCCAAAGACCTTAATGATGGTATCAACAGGAGGACAACACCTGTATGAGGTCACACTGGAACGAAAGAGATAAAGTTAAGGCCATACTGAATGGATAGCCATCAGTGCTCAGTGGCCTGTGGCAGATGCCAGTGGAAGGGATTCTTATTCGTGAAGCCAGTCAACCAATGACGGTGAAGGAGAAGCACTGTGTTAAGAGGGAAAGATTTCATCTCGACATTCAACAACCATTGCGAACACGCTAATTTGTTTTTCTTCTTGTGTTGCTCCTCACATATAAACAGGAACTCTCAGAGAGACCCATCTCACATCAAAGGGCAAGACATGCAAATGTAAAATGGATGGTCTTTGGCAGTGCTTCAGATATTAAGGACTTAAAGTAAGCCAGTCCATTCCCTTGGTTGATAAATATATTTGTGTTTGTCAGTACAGTGCCATACTCTCAATGTATACCAATGTGATAATGACTCTCACAGTATGAGAGGGTGCTAACGTAGGCTCACAGCTGAAGCCTTCCCATTATTGTGTGTTCAGTACAGACTCGAGCTGAATACTGAACGCCCTTGTTCGTGTTATATGTTTGTTGCCACAGTTGTCTAACCCTATTCAGTGTGCCTATCATCTTGGCAGTGTCAACTGCTCAGACTTTTTCTGGAGCCACTCCAGTTTCCTCTGTTTTCATTGTTGTACAACTAGAAATATCAGTTGAATTACTAAATAATCACTGGGAAAATTTAGTTTAGTAGATTTATGACTACTAATTGTGTATAAACACCCTGCTGAAAAGACCAGCTTGGATTTTCATGATGTTCTCACTGGTTTGTTCTGGTCTGGTGCTTTCTTAACTGGCGAACCTGCTTAGACATGCCGTTCATCAGTAAAACTTGACCAAGGAAGTCTAGCTGGTTACAGTCAGCATGAAATATCATTTGCAACCCATTTTATTTTTGTCATATAACGTATTTCTGAGTGAAATGTAGGGCTGGACTGGACTTTGTCCATTGAAAACTGATTGGATTCTCAAAAGTTTACCCGCATTCCAAATCTAGATGATTTTTTTTCCCAATAATGTTCAGGCAGCTGTTTTCCATATAAAGAACGTGAATGAGAATTGGGTCTGTAGTTCACCCGAATTATTTCTTTAATCATCTGGTTCTTGAATTCAGTGGACTGACTCCCTGATACCAGTTGCAATCACCGGTCTGGAAAGGAAAATTATCAGTGAATAATAACGTGGATTACTAATGGGCTACTTTTATGATGCTCTTATGTCAAGTTGTCCTTATGACTCATACACTATATTCCAATTGACTGAACCATTGAGTCACCTGAGAACTAAATCAGTCCAATAAATGAATCGTTCCAAATGTTTGTGTGAACTTGATTGTATAAAATACACTGAAACTCAAAAGAACGTTTTGTTCACAAATCAGATATAATTTTGAAGCTTGGCAGCCCCAGTTGTCATTCACTTTGATTATATGGAAAAGGGTGGCTAGGATATTTCTTTAAACGAATGAGCATCTTAAGTGGATGGAGTATGAGCAGAGCCAGACCAGTGGGTGAAATTTACGTTACTTTGGGGACATCAACCAAAAAGGTTTATACGATTATAAAGAAATGTTTTCATGTGCACTGATGAGTCATGCAGAAGAATGCACCATAAGCCTAGAGATGTTTATTACGTATGTAAATAGGGTCAGTTTTGATTTCATGTTGTGTTTAAGCTAGTTCAGAAGTCTGGTTTAGACTCCAGGGTTCCTTGCTCAGCACCAGCCTCCAAAACACATCATATGATGGTGACCAGCTCTACTGGTCTTTTCAGCAGGGAAGTATAGCAGTATTCAACAAGCCTCAAGTTTTATACTATCACTTCGAATTCGTACTGCCATTGATAGTAGTTCAGCAAGTGTCAGTAGTTAACCAGCCAGTCTCGTTGTTTTCCATTGTGAATCGGTCAAAGAGTAATGTAATTTCTCAGCCTTCATCTCCATCGGGGGGTTTCACCTCTACTAAAGCTCGGTCTTTGCCTGAATGCGGGTCGAATAGAGCCACTTCTTCTCGTGAATTTGAGTAATGACCGTGCAACGTCTGAATGGGGCACCTTTGGGGATCTGACATTGTTTGAGTCCCCTGATAAAAGGAGTGCTGAGAAATGTCAGACATCCGGAAATGAAAGACAAGTTTTGAGCCGGTCAGCCCTAAGAAGCATTTCACTGACCGCTGATAAGTATCTAGGGCAGAGCAGTATGAAAGACGTCAGTGTGGCAAATCCAGCCCTTTAGAAGACCATTCAAAGTGTCTTAGCCTCACCAGAGCCTTATGCCTGGATTTCTCTTCGAGTTTGCTGCTGGTTTTCCTCTCCCACCCTCGACGGATCCTTAGTAAAGAATCTATCGCATTTTCCCACTAAGGTCCCAGAAGACTGCATTATCCGTGTGAGTGGTCTAATCCATGTCGCTAAAAGTGTTTCCTCGCAAAAGGAGAGGTTGCAGATGTAAATATCAGGTATGTGTTTCACT